CCGGACACGCGGATCCGCCCAACGCCTTTATTAGCGCCCGCGCGGCGGCCCCGGCTCCGAGCCCAGGTCTGAGTCAGGCTCCGCGTCGGACTCCAGATCAGGCTCCGGATCAGACTCCAGATCAGGCTCCGCATCGGACTCCAGCTCTGATTCAGGATCAGACTCCAGATCAGGCTCCGAGCAGTCTCCGTCCTCCTGGGTGGCAGAGCTGTGCAGACACAGAGCCTTCCCTCAGCCCCGGGGAGCACCTCACGCTCCCCAGGGACATCACCTGAGCCCCGGGAATCACCTCATCCCACCCCAGGCATCACTCGATATCCACCCCCTGAGGGCATCACTCCAGCCCCAGGAGTCACCTCAGCCTCGGGGATCAGCTCGGCCCCGTCCTCCCTGGGGATCACCATGGCCCTCTCCCATACTCCCCCTCCCCCCCACCCCCATCCGCGGGGCCAGCCACCTGCAGCACCAGCCCTGCCACCAGAGGATGAGGCTGGTGGCAAAAGCCAGGATGAGGACGAGGAGACAGGAGCCCAGCACCTGCCAGCCCAGCGACCTGTCCCACAGCAACTGGTGCCTGGGGAGACCTGGTGAGACACGGCAGGCAGGGCTCCAGGGGCCACCCTGCCTGCCCAAGCTAGGGACCCCAGCCCAGGGCCCCTGCCCCCCAGCCCAGGGCCCCTGCCCACCTCCACCACGGTTACTCACCACTGTCTGACAGCTGGAGGCCGCTGTCAATGCTCCCCCCCAGGGGGGACCCCTTCCGCAGGCAGTCGGGGGGCTTCCAGCCAGGGTGGCAGTGGCAATGTCCCTTATTATTGCACACCTGGAAAGCCCAGGGGCGGGCAGCAAAGGTTTGCTGTGAATTCATATGATGCACTCCCCTGCCCAGAACAGCAGCAGTCGTGCTGCCACTGGGGCTGGGTAAGGCTCTGTGCACTTATGGGCTCTCTGGCAATTTTAGAATATTAGCTGATAAGGTCAGGATTGTGTACAGTATCATCTAAAATGGGGTTTTGACCAGTTCCCAGAGAAGACAGAAAATTTTCACCAAAAAAAAGCCACCTGCCCCCCACAGCCCCCACGTGTGGGATTGACTTACACCATGGCCATGGCACTGCTCTTCACTGTCACAGTCAGATCCCAGTACAGAGAGTGGTTGACAAGTGTTGTTTATACACACCTAGGGAAAACCCCAGCAGTTCCAGTTCAGAATTCACAGCACTCAGCCCATCAGTCTTACATCCCAAACAGGAGTGAAAATGCTCTGCTTTTAGGAAAACAGTAACAGTGTTCTTCAAATCTATAGTTCCTGCCTTAGGGTTGGGTTACACCTGACACTCTAATTGTGCCAAACCTTTTGTGTCATGTTTGCTTGTTTTTACAGTGTTTGTAAATATCAAGCACACTTATACTGCAAACGAGCAAGTAGTTCTAGAGCCCTGGTTAGTATTTACAATACACATCTGGCATTACAGATGATTGTAAAATGTTTCCTCACCTTCTCAGAGCCACACTTTGTACCTGGTGGGACCAGAAGAGGATCCAGCCTTGCTGGTGTGTTCAAATAATTCAAAGATACACATACGTCCTTGTGCACTCGGACATAGAGAGCAGCAGCAACATCTGATGGAAACGGAGTGCTGTACGGGTACGTGCAGATTAACTTCCCACATCTCAGATGCCTACAAAATCAATTTGCATGGGATGTGCTGCTACCTGATGAAACACCAGAAACATTAAACTGCACAACACAAATCTGGAGCACTGCACAGTAAGAAACATTAACAGGACTGGGAAGTTCTAGAAATGGTCTGTGACTTACGGAGAGACACTATCCTGCTAAGAGGAACACACATAATTCTATTTATTGTTTCACAAATCTCACTGTCACCTGGAGTCTTGATGCTTTCTCTGATGGTACAGCCCCAATTAAATATGCATTTTTAGTGGATCAAGAGCCCTTTCCCTAGAGCATACCTCCAAGCACAGGACTTAAAGCCTTGTCTGGGCTGGAACCCGCAGTGTCCAAATCTGTCCCCATGACTATTGAGTTCCTCGTAACAAGCCACAGGAGCGCTTTTTGAATCTACAAGTTTAGCAACAATATTCATTATAATTTAAAGGAAAATAAAGGGACATATCATGGTATTTAATAATGTCTTAATTTTTCATCCTGTTCACAGCAGAACATCTTCACTAATTACAGAAAATACCTGCCCCTGAACTGCCAAACCCTCAGCAGTCCTGAGTGTCAGAAGCAAGTTACCAACCAACCACAAACCCTCGTGTCCTCCAAAACCAGGCTAGAAACACACAACAAGACCAACCTGAGATTGGTGCCTTAATGAGAAAAGACATCTGTGGCCACCTCCCAGGTGCTGGCCAGGACCAGCAGCACCAGCACAACCAGAGCATCCCGGTACCTTTCCCATAGATCTGCCGGCACTGCAGGTCTGGAGAGCGGCAGCGTCCCTGGTAGCAGTACCCGCTGCTGTGCTCGCAGTTGTGCCCGTCCTGCACGTACAGGTCGGGGGGGCAGGACGCCGAGGAGCCGTTGCAGAACTCGGGCAGGTCACAGTGCAGGTCGGCCGCGGGGCGGCACAGGGCGTTCTTGGGCTTGAACTGGCAGAGGAGGCAGAGAGGGCTCTTTCTTCCCCCAGCCCTGCACACCCACCAGCCCCACACAGCCCCTCCTGACACTGTCCTGACACGTCCCTGGTCCCTCGGGACCCCCTCTGTGGCACTCAGCTCACCACACACGTTACACCACCCAACACAGTCTTCCCAAGAAATATTCTTCCCAGGGGTTTCAGAGCTGGAAAGCCCAACCCCGGGAACCTTTCTGATTGCACAGCAGGAAGTTTCTCTCCACCCCTCAGCATGGGGACATACTATTTCTCCAAAACCAAACCATGATCTTGTTTGTGCTAATTACAAAAACGTGCCTTACCTGACATTCATTACAGCATAATCCAGAGGAACATTTCACTCCCAGCTTAAACTGACAGGTGTTATTACAACATTTATCCTTCAAGCATTCCTGGGGACACATTGAAACCCCGTCATTCTATTTCCTTGTGCTCCCAGAGCTTTTTACTCTCAGAGGTTCCCCTCTTCCCCGTTCTCCCCAGAAACCTGCACTCAGCTAACATCTAGCAGAAGAAACATCATGGAAACGACCTAGAAGCTGACAGGGCCCTTCCTGGGCTGGCCTCTCCTCCAGCTGTGCCTCAAGCCCTCGGCCCTCCCGCAGCCCCACCTGGGGGGTCCCACAGTCGCACTGCTCCCCGGGCTCCACGACGCCGTTGCCGCAGGCGGCCCGCACGGAAGGACGGCTGGTGCAGAGCGGGCCTGATGAAGGGACAGTCCCTGTTCTGCCTCAGGAAGGTTTCAAAGTCCCCGACGCTGCAGTTGCTGAAGGCTTTTGCCCCACTGAAGTGTCTAAAACAAAGCAATGATCCATTTATGTGACCACACCTACGGTGTCCACTCTGAAACCCTGTGCAGAGCAAGGACTGGCTCAGCTGATGGCACCAGGCACAATGGTCCCCTGAGTGTCTGCCAGTTCACTTGTCAAAAATGACTTTACAACCTAGGAACAGAGATTAAGAAGCACTCAGGAATATCTTGTTTTTGGAACACAAAGTGTCCTTTTCCCAAGTCACTACTTTATCTTTCCTATAGTAAGAACAACTGCATTGTTTTCTCACAATGTTTCCAATTCCTTTCTGGCTGTCACTCTAGATATGCTATTTTAAAGTATATTTAACATGCAATTATTTTGTAAAACTGGATTCAGATCATGTATGAGCAGTAACACGGTCAGGAGAGCTGGAAGAGCACACCCTCCTGTTTAAAGCAAATACAATTACTTCTCAAAAATATTCACTAACACAAACACTAATTTTTATGGACAAGATAATAAAACGAAAGGCCAAAATACTGGCAGCTGCCGGGTCCCTGCTACCCCCAGCACCCCCTGCCCACCCGCCCCGGTCCCCGCAGCCCCCGGGCAGCCCCTGGCAGGGACGGACCCCCCGACTCACAGCGCCTCGGGGCTCATCACGCAGACGCGCCCGGGGCAGACG